TGCTCCACAGCCTTCCGCGCAGGGCTAGGGAAATGCGCTGCACACACTGCGAGGAAGAAATGCATCCATACTCCCATAGTAATCAACTGCAGGGTGGTAAAGGACTGTAAAGTAACCTGGCATGTTCTGCCCTCTTGGTGGCTCCTGGTAGCACAAGAAGAGCTGGTGTTCCAGCCTCCCCGAAAAGCCTTATCACCTTGGATGAAATGGTTGCATAAACAGAACGTGGGGCGGGCTGGATTTCAAATATGCTGTTTGTATTCATTTGTGGCATTATTGACCTTTCATAACGCACTGACGGTTGCTTTTCATTCCATCATTCCAGTTAAGAGATTGTCAATAACTCTGGAAATAAATCAGGTCTCCAGAGTGAGTCCATTTTCTTACTGTCATTTAATGGCAAACAGAAGATCCCTTCCCTGCCTCCCAAAATACCCTGTTGTGTCCTTCTGGCTGCACTGTGCATAACTGAACTGCTCGCCTGCTTCTCCTTACCAACGCATCTGGGTTTGAAGGGATAATTTAAAGAAAAAAAAAACCCCACAAAAGACTTTTCCTTACAGTAAAAAATTTGTAAGGCAAGGGCAAGGGCAAAAGCCAAGATTGGGGCCTGTTATTGCCTCATTAGCACAGCCGAGCAGTGGCAGACTCTGCCTGGGGCCGCTGCACAGCCAGGCAGCGCTCAGGGGAGGAGGGGGATTCCTTCTTTCACATCCACGCTCCCTATTTCCCAACTGCATTTTCATGCCGATTGCAGATAAATGGACCTGATGTTTAAGTGCCAGTTAATGTACGTAGAGCAACCACTTGTTTGCTGTTACTGCTTTAACTAAGGAGCATGTCACCATGCTAAATGTCAATCACGTGTATTTACCACATCGTTTTAAAAGTGCAGGGTCATGTAGACTCCTCTGGGAGCCAGTGAACTCACCACAAAGAGATCCGGACTCACACGGTCTTGCCTTGTACCGGAACCAGGGAAGAGCAGGTTTTGTTCAGAACATGAAGCCAGTGTTGGCTTTGAAAATCAGGCAAGGGGATGTGTGGTGTCACCTCAACACCAGTTGCCGCCGCACCTGTAAGGGAATACAGCAGCTGCTTTTACGTAGTTCTTACAGTTTCCTACTCATGTTATTGTTGTTTAGGGGTTTCTCATTAATACTGTGGGAAAAATGTAACTGCCAAGGGAGACGTGCTTGGGAGACTCCCACCTAGCTGTTCTCACAGGAGTGGAGGTGCTTGGAGACCTTCAGTAGCAAATTAGGGCAGCCTCAGTTTTACAGCTCTGCTGAAGCACGGGGGACTGGCAAGAGGGAAAACAAGTCTTTAAAGAAAGGCATCACAAACAAGCAATTCTGCTGGTAGCCACAGATAGGCACTAACTTAGTAATGGTCTTGAATATCTTTCCGTTTCTAGGCCTTCTGGAAGTTGGTCTACAATTCTCCAGGCTCTGTTTCTCTCTGAGATCAGTTGTCTCTACCAACATTAGTAAATAACCCCCTCTCCTAAATGGCCACTTTAGAAATTTCCATTTCATGAGTCATTACGGGGCAAAACCAGCCTTCCAGCCTCGTCTTTCCTGAGAGCCATCCCAGAGTGTCTGCTGGCATGTTCCCCGTGGAGTTAAACCAGTGCACTGGGTTTCTCAACCAGTCTGCAGCCCAGCCTAAGACTTCAGGCTGGAAAGTTGTCAGAAATCAGCCACTGCCTTTCGTGGTTGCCTGCAGGGAAGGTGGGTGCTGACCAAAGGCATTTTTGAAGGTCGTGAGTTTGGCTTGAGATGCCAGCGGCCACAGAGCCAATGGGAAAGGGATGTGGTGGCTGGTAGGTTTTTCCCATGGAGGAACTGCACAGCCAGGTCACACGGAGAGGTCCTTTGCCTTACACAACAAGGGCTAACCTGAGCTCCCAGTCCCAGCTACAGCGCTGCCTGGGGAGGGACGAACGCCAACACCTTGGCCATCAGTTCTGACACTGGTCAGGTAGAGGCAAGTCAAAGAGGACCCTGAGGTCTCACATAAGTTTGAAAAATTAGGCTGATATCTTTGCTAGAAGGGGAAGGCAGAGTCCCAGCTAATCATTTAGAGGCCTGAGGTTGTGTCAAGCTAGTATTAGATATTATAAACACACAAAGAAGTGTTCCTTCTAAGGAAAAAGGAAATGGCAGAAAAGAAGTAAAGGTTATTAGGCGATTAAAAGCTCAGATTTTGAAAAGAGCTACTATTTGCCACCTGTGGTACGTGCAGCCTGGTTCCGTCAGGCAAGCGAGTAATCAGCCAGTGATTTGTGGAAGTCCTTTAAGAAAATAGGCCACTGCTGGGTGTGTGAGTAACTAATGCTCATTTGGTTTGTGTTTGAAGGCAGCAGCAGCAACAGTCATGACACAAATTAATTGCACGGTTTTCAGGAGATAATGCAGACGAGGTAAAGAAATTACTATGCGATTAACATAGTTTCCAATTAAAGTCCCCTGTAGTTACTGAAAAACATTAATTTCTAGTAACTTGGTAATTTAACTTGTGTCACCACTGTACACAAGCGCACCAGGGCAACGTACGGGCTTGTCTACGCTTAAGCCTTGTACGGGAAACATGAAAAAAAATCTGAAAAATCGCCATTAAACAACTATTTGTAGCAGGCTTCAAATAAAACACCGCTGTGGTAAATGAAAGGATTTGCTAATAGACTAAAGGACCAAAAAACAGCTGCTGTTCTGGCACTGAAGTCTTTCTTGCCTTTAGTCAAAAAGGGGGGGAAAAAAAAATCCACTGTTTAAATAAACTCAGCAAAGGTGTTTCAACCATTATCTTTCTTTATCAACAAGTTGCAAAAAGACTGAGACAAATGAAACTATTTTGCCCTTCCAGAGAAGTTTGCTGTTGGGATGGCAGAACTACATTTTTCTTTTTAACACTTACGTACTACAGCTCTTGTATTTCCATTAGACCATTTCTATTACAAGAACACCAAACCAAAGGTCTTTTGAATCGCAGCTCATTTCTGGAGACACAGCTAGCTTAGGTGGGTACATGCAGATGAGATTTTCTAAGGTACCTGAACTTCAGCCAGTGGAGTTCAGGAAGAAAGAAAAGTCATCCTTCAGTTCCCATCTCAGATGAAGCTACCTGTACTGCAGCGGGACGGAGTGGCCCATGATGTACTTGTAAGTGTGCAGCAGACCACGAGGTACAAAGGCCTAGACATAGAAAACTTACAGAATTATCAGGCCTGAGCAGTTTTGTTTTAGTCTGATGACAAAATGCAGTCACCAAGTAGTGTCATTACTGTTTTTGTCATGTGCCTTTCCAGAACATCTGTCTGTTTTCACCCTGCCTGTTTCAAAATGTAAGTGTACATGGTGACCAGTATGGGAAGAGCCGTTCCTTTGACGTCTTCCCGATTGCCAGGCTTGTTCCCAGTAATGTTATGAAGGCTGAAGTGTGCAGTGGGGTAGGATGGATAAAGTCTTTCGAAAGAGATGTGGGTCTTTGTCTATATGACTTGAGACATATATCAACGTTGTACAGTAACTGTCATTTAAAAAACCAAAAATACCACATAATCAGGAAAAAAGTCCACTGTACAGCTATATACTTTTGTTCGTTTCACATACCTCAGCACCACTTTCAACTTCATTACAAATATTGCAGACTCCTGTGCATTAAAGCCTCTGAAGCTTATTACATTTTATTATTATTACTACAACAACAGAAGCTGTAAACGGAAAAGACGTTATTGATTCAACTAATCTGCTGAATGCAGATTGTTCTTTACCCTGCATTTGTTAGCCTTCGGGCCAGTCTGGTTTTTAACAGCCTTACACGGCAAGACTTTCAACACTTCTGGGTGAGAATATTACACAGCCTTGTATTCCCCTGCGGGAAGCTTCTCCTTGAGCATCTTCCCCTTTCCCAGGGATGCCTGTCCTTTTTACCCTTCCCTCTAACTCCTTTCCCCCTCACCAGTGCGCAGACACTACATATTTGTAAACCCTAGCGCTTCCCTTTCTCCCTAACCTCACTCTTCAGCTATAGAGTAACAAAGCCACATAGCTGCAAGTTAATCTTCCTTAAATCCATCCCTGCAGGCTCCTGATCATTTTTCCCGTTCTTCCGTGCACTTTAATTAGTTAATGCCTTCCTTGTGGAAAGGTAAGCAGAAAGGAGAGCATCAGTGAAACCAGATTATACCGATTATATCCCCTGCTCTGTGACAGCAGCTTTTAATGATGCAGCCTAGGATTGCTTTTTTTTTTTTTAAAATGTGAAAGCAAAGTACAACTTCATGTCTAATTTCCTGTCCACTGTTACCCAAAGGAACCACTCAACGGTTTTGCATTATTTTTGCTAAAGCTACATTAACTTCCCTAAACAGGAATCTTCTATTTTCTAGCTCTCACTGACATTTGCAATTCTCCTTATTTTGACATCTAAATTCCACAAATACGTTGTTTACTCCCTCTTCTGGGCTATTAATGAAAAATATTAACTGAGATCAAGCCAAACATCCTCACATACGTGCAGCATCTAAAAGTAATATTATGCCAATTATTAGTAGGATTCAACAGTGCAGAGGTTACTAATTTAGACAAATGATGTGTGGGGTTTTTTTCTCCTGAAAACAAGCGAACACAATCTCATTTTGGCTTTTTGGAATATTAACTCAATTAACACGTGCAAACGCACACTCCAGCCCTGACGCATACACATACTTGATCTAGTTCTGCCTGAAATCTATCTATTAGTCACTTCTTCCTCGTAAAAGGAAAAAAGGTGCTTTAATGAATACACGTGGTGCTTATTATTTGGATTGGCAACATTTGTGCCTTCTGTGCCTGAACGGCACTTAGAACAGGTTAACATTTGGTTTACAACACAACAATAAAATTTGCCTTTATTGCAAATAAACAGAGTATTCACACCTTACAATATTGTTTTAGATGCAGGATTATATTCACTCTTAGAGGATCTAATATTAATATAAAAGGCACATGCATTTAATGTTTTCACACCTTTTTTATTTGCCAAGCAGTGTTAATATGTATTTTAAATAACTGCATTTACTTTGTTAAAACATGAAACTATTTATGTACATTTGTTTGCAATCTGAGAACACACACCATCAAGTAATCGTTTGTACAGTAATAACATGTATCCAAAAAAAAAAAAATCACAGCCCAGAATTTTTAACATCCACTCCCCCATTTGCTTTGATTTAAAAGCTGCACTAATAGGAGAGAAGCCTCAACATTATAGTAGTTGAAACAGGAAACAAACACCGCTCTCTTCTAATAATTGTCTTTAGCTGCTTTGATTGGTTGCAGTTAATATTAATAGTATAACCTTTAAAAATTGTGGGGAAAGGTAATACTTTATCTTCACTCCTCATATTAAGGCTCCAAAGCAAGCTTAATGAGAAACCATTATAAAATCATACTGCTAAATAGTATCTTAACTCACAATTCAGCCTATATAATTATATCAGTATTGCAACTGACAATTACTACTGATATATCAAACTTACCTTTCTTACACAGTGCTGCTCAGGATGTGTGTCACGATTACAGCATTAACTATTATTTGGGCTTACGTAGTGAGACAGATTAGAGTTCTACCCTTACCACATGAATACAGAGCTCAAATTTTGCTTACAAACAGAAATAAGATGGTCTCAAAACCTATGACATAAACCCCAGACGTATCTGGCAGCCTCTGCTCAGGATTCGTCCTGGACTGACACGACATTAGGGTCACAGGTTAGGCTTTAGGGACTGGCCAAGCTTTTTAAGAGGGCAAGACCAGGACGTAGGCACATTTCAGCATACCTGGCTCTGAACAATGCCTTCTATCTTCACTAGCACAACATGACATTAAACTCATCCAACTAGTAATGAACAAAAATAATTAGTAAGTACATTTATAAATGACATTTTAAAGACGATTAACATATAAAACATTATCATTTTTATGAAAATAGACCAATTTCAGCACAAGCTTGCCTTTTTGGGGGAGGAGGACACGTACATTTTTTATTTTTTAAAAGGCAAGTGTTCTCCTGGACAGCTGCCAATAATCTTGTGTAAAATGTCCTTAAAGCAAGACAAACTCCTCTGTACTAAATCTTTTTAATCTTTTCTTTTCATCTTCAGAGAAAAGGTCATTTTCTTCATGGAGTGGACTGGAAGCAAAGTCATAGTCTCTAGAATGACCCTTTACAAAAGTAAACAAGGGATATTTCTCCTTAGATGAAGATTTCAGCATCTACAATGTAAAACACATACCAGATAAAACGTTAATTGGAAATGAAGAAATACAGTTAGTAGTGATATTTATCTGATGATGACTGCAAAGTAAAAAATGCATTTTTTGTTTTTATTATAATATTAAACCAAAAGCATTGCACATTCTAAACATCCCCTCCTCCCGTTAAACAAACATTTACTTCCATTTCTTCTTCAGATAGCTGCTAATTTTATGCCTAACCCTGCATCTTGTTCCATACAGATCACCTCTACATGCTGTTTATTTCAGTGCAGCTGGAGCTCTTGTAGGAAGATAAAAAACTCCACAAAATAGTTAATGGCCATAACGCTCTCCTCAAGCACACGTATGAATTCTGCAGCAGCTAAGCATCTCGGGGAGATATTTTTATTGTAGAATCGGCATGTACAATAGTCAATGTTTTTATTAAAAGTTTAAACGCATACACCTATGTAAATAAGCCAACCGAGAGCACATGGCTAAAAACAGACTGACAACAGTAACAGGCTGTGGTAACTAGGGTGCCAAAAATCTACATTTATAGAAAACCGAGCACGTAGAAAGCAGGCGGTGGGGAATGATAAATGCTAAAACAGATCAGCAAAATACCTTTAATAGCAGATAAAGATCCACCAAATACTGAAAAGCATTTCAGCCTTTCAGGCTGTTTTGGACACTTAATTGTTCAGTAATTTTTTTTTTTTTTTTTTTTTAAATTTCTTACCTGCTTTGAAAAAAACCAGCACAGTGATGCAGTGACACGCAGAACTACACTACCCTAGAGGTATACACTGTATGGAACTAAATACACTAAACATAATTTCATGAGAACAATTAATCTAAAACAGTAGAAAAACCTACATAGATCTTTAAACAGTAAGAACTATTTAAAAAAAGACAGTCAGGGGCTGATGGGGGTGTTTAAAAAAAAAAAAAAAATCACACTCACAGTAAAATCCTTGATTTTTACTGTGGTCTGAAATTTTCCACTTTAGTATTGTCTATTTTAATTGCATTTGGCTATTGTAATGTGAAACCTGGGTAAAGGAGCAAGGAGATATAGGAGAGACACACAGTAATAAGCAAAAGAAGATTAACAAATGAGCATTAGAAATAAAAAAAGTTTGTAAGACATACAAATGCTTTGTTTCTTGAGAAGACTAGATAATTGGATGCAAACCCTTTCATCTCTAGGGGTTGAATACAAGCTGGCTTAGCAGGAACAGAAATTGATAGCCACATGAAGGCTGTTTGCTGGTCTGTGAAGCGGACGGGTGGACTTAGGCCAGCTCCTAATTGGAAGTTTGCAACAGAAAACTCATCCGAATACTGCATCTCAGGGAATGCATGGTGACCAAACAACCATCGCACCTTTATAGATGGTCCCTCCAAATCAGGACAGAAATACACCTGCAGTTCCACTGCCGTCGTCTGTGTTCAACTTTCCCTGAAACGTCCTTCTCTACAGGTACGAGTAACACCTCTCTCTATGTACTAAGGGAGGTGATGAAATACTAAATACAGAACATAAACCGGACATAAAATGCCTAAACAAGAGTCGAGTGGAACTTGGTTAAGATTACTGCAATTATTATCAAACTACATCTCACTCAGTGATCACAGATAATTTGAAACTCTAAAGAACCTACAAGTTCTTTAGATACCACTGTGATGATTTCTACAGAGAAGTTTATTGATAAACATCAATATTTTTAGTATTTCAGTGTTAGACTCGGACTGCCACTGTTGTCACTGCAACAATTAATTCCTTATGCTGAGTGTTGAACTTGGATGCAGTTCAATCAGTCCAGTTCTTCAGAGAACTTTTCATTTCTGCTAAGAACCTGGGCTACAAACAAGCAAATGCAGTTGTAGCCCAAGTGGATTATTTATTTGCTGTCATGGGTTTTGATAGGGAAACAATTCACTGCATTAGCAAAAAGACAAGCCTGGTACCAGTTAAGTAACAATGTGAAGTAGCACAGAGGCTGTGGCCAGGAAAAGGCAGAGCCATCCCAGGTGCTGCGCAGAACAAGAGCTTCTTGCTGACCTCTTGGATCTACCACACGGTGTTGAGAAGCCAGACAGAAACTGCTCTGCCTGCTCGGTATTTATGCTGGAAGTGCAAGACAGAAGTAAGACTACAGCCAGTCGGTAAATCCATCCTTCTCAAGTCTGGAGGCGTTTCCAGGTCTCCTTATTCTATCAGCTATTTAATTCCAGGTATTACTCAACTACTTAACAATAGCTGCCAACTGGCGAGTACAGAAACAAAGGGTAACCTGAATGTGATTTGGATGGAGTTTCACCAATCACTCCATTTGGGCCCTTGATTTCAATGCCCTAATTTCTCTATCACTGAATGTATGGCTCATAAGGTTTATCCTCAAGTAATAAAAGCTAAATCTTTTCTCCGACCTTTTATTGCCCACAAAAGCAGTAAGAACTTGAATTTTTGAGTCTAGCCTACCTAGGGCACACTGGGAATATACTGTGCTTTATAGTTCAAGAGTTATCGCACTCAAATTGCAAACAAAGGGAAAAATAATGGAAGAGCAGGAAAAAACAAAGGATGTGAAGGAAGGACTGAAAGATCATAGAGTGTTTCTCACATTGTATTTGCATCCAAACTTTATTTCCAAACTTACTGTGCCTGAAATATATTTATGTAAAATAATGTCACTAATATTGAAGAACTTCTATCTAAAATACAAGGATAATAGCTCCCAGACTTAGATCAGCTGTGAGTATTTTCACAATGTATGTTCAGGAAAAGAAATGTACTTAATCCCAAACTTGGAAGAAAAGAAAGAAGGGAAAAAGAGAAAGAGAACTTCCAGTGCAACCGATTTTGTAATTAGATTTTTTTTTTTTACTATGTTATCACATGCTTTCTTATACATGATAGAACAGGAAAACACGGAAGAATAGAAACTTCACTATTTAAACTCTCCATATATCCGTTGCTTCGGAACTTCTACTTCTTTAAATCTACTTTCTACCTCTCCGTGTAAAAATCAAAGAAGCAACTCCAGCATCAATCAATATCTACTAAAGATTACATGCAGTATTAAGTTTAAAAATGCTTTTTTGGCTATAATACTAATACCACTTAACAGGACATTCAAAATGCTGTACAAACACTAATTCTTTGTGCTGTTGTGGTAACTACTGTGGTTAGAATATTGATATTGTGACCATCTGCTGCTGCCGCTGCATCCTTTCACAGACTATTTTTTAAAATCACAAACACAGTTATTTGCTACACCACAGCTAATACAACATATTAATAATGTTGTATTTCATACGCTCACATACTGTAATAATTAAGGGAAAAAAGTCAATTACATTTGGACCTAAATGAACCTATACCAGCGTTTTTCAAGTGGAAGGACATGACCAGACAGATTTGCCGAGCGATACCTGCTTTGTAGACTTCAAAGCATTGTTATCAAATCATAAACACACTGCTGTACATTTAAACGCCGTCAGAAAGAGCACTTACGCTAACAAGAAATAATAGACAATTTTGGCTTGATCAAATACTTCCATTTAAGAAGAAATCCCTCCCGAGGGATTGATTGCCTTTTCAAAATTCCTCCTCGGGTAGGGGGCAATCCGGGCGGCTCGGCAGGGCTGGCTGCAGAAACATCCCCATTTCAAGAGTGCCACCTCGTGGGCCCGCCTGTGCCAGCTCGGCCGCCGGCGCCCGCCCCGCCGCGGTTCCATCAGCCTGCTCCGACAGAGACCGTCTCTCGCAAGGCAACTCAGGTTCTCCCCAGGCTTCACGTGTTGGTAAAATCGGATGAAACGAAAAAGATCTAGATTTCTCATGACTATAAAAGCAGCAATAAATACCAAGAAAAGAATGATGTCTATTTAGAAGAGCGAAGCTGATTCTCTCCCCTTATCCATACACAGTACACACACGCCACTCTGGCCGAGTCGTCGATGTGGTAACTTCGACACCTACCTTCGTTATTTCTTCAGAAGCCTTCTCAAAGTCCTGCACAGTTCTACAGTAAAATCCTATTGTGCAGCTCGGATCCATTTTTTTGAATGACATCTTTTTGGGAGAAGGACAGTGGAATGACTGCAAGTTTCAAGATTAAAAAACATGAAATACATGGTTAAGGTTTAGAATGGTATAGACCAATGCATTTACTTTTTTCCACCAACAGCTTTAACATACAATCCCCTGTATCACTTGAATTAAAACCCAGCACGCACTTTTGAAGTAATTTCTTCCACCCACCCCCCCCCACCATTCAAGTAATTCCCCTCTTCTCCACATGTATAAAACCTCCTGCTGTTCACGCTGTGTTCACCAAACTTGCGCACAACACCATGTTAGTTTGAAATCTGTCAAAGGTCTGCCGCTCCGAGCAGTACTTTATGAATATTCCCAAGGCAGAGGAGGTGAATGCTCTTCTGCAAATTGAATTTGTAACAGCTTTTGCACTATCTTACAATTACTGCTTTACTACCACCACCCATTGCCCCTTTCCCTCCCCCAACCTCTATAAAAGACACATAATGGAATAAACCAACCTCATGCATTTTCCTTTAGTAAATGAAATTGGTTAAAAACCCCACAAAACCCACAAAAGCAAAACCATATTACAATAATCCACAAGTCAGAAAAAAACGAACATGCCCTGCTTCATAAATTTTTTTTTCCTAATGTGAAATCTCTTTTCATGACAGATGATGCTCTGACAGTGCTGTGAACTGACACCATCAGCAGCCATGCTATAAGAAAAAACAAACAAATATACAAAACCCTTCCCCACACTCCTCATTCACAGTTTATGAAAGAAAAGATAAGTATATGCTATCTACCCTGATTACGTGTTTGTTTACTACAGGAACTGTAGCTTTGATGAAGCTCATCTAATAACTGAGATTATTTGGTCACCACTGACTGTCTCTCAAAGGCAGTCCTCTTTATTCTGCTTCTAACATGCAGGACTACCCAGTCATCCTACCTCTATTAAATCCCTGGCAAACCTGCTACAGCTGCTCAGTAACAAATGCTAACACACCACGTCTGCACCACCCTGCAACGGAGATACCACTGTACTAAAATGCAGATTTTATTTTTCATGAACTTCCCCCAGTGATCAATATTCTCCAGTGAAGAGTCTGTGCTATTTCCTTTCGTATTTACATGTCAGCTGTGCACAGCTCACGGCTCTTCTGTCACAGCGCTGGTCAGCACAGGAGCGGGACAGCTTACTAACACAACACACACCAGGACAGAGCAATGCAGGAGATTTCTTACCAACACCACTGTGTTTCCTCTATAAAGGGTAACTAACAACTGTTACGATCTAATTTGACTATAGCAACAGCAACCCCTGACAGCTAACATCAAGCAGTCTGTATACTAGAAACCCATTTTATCTTTTTTTTTTGCCAGTCAGAGAAGTCAATCTACAGAAGACGACGGCGCTAGTCACCTAATCTGAGTGTATCTGTCAGTGTAATAGTTTTACATACTGAAGTATACTGTTCTTTACTTGTGATTACAAACCTAAGAGAGGTACTTCTATTAAACCTCTGCTAAAAATATAAGCAAAGATGAGAAGTACTATTTCTGCAAGATTGATTTTAGTCACTGTTTCTTCTCCTAATTCTGTTCAAATTTTATATGCAGAAATTGTATTCTGAATATTCATTCCTGAGTCATCAAATACATAAATCGAACTCCGCCTTACATATCGCATTTCAGCAATGACATTGTAACTACAGTTGTGCTGTACTGTTCAGGGCAGTAGTCTTAATGCTACACAAATCACTGTACAAGAAAGAGAAGTGGGTAGGCTTTTTTTTTCCCCCACTCCTCCAAACAAATGGATTCTGGAAGCCAATACAGAGTGGATTGATTTTGAACTTATTCTGGACGATTTGTCAATTTTGAAAATACTCCCTACAGATGAATCTAACAAGCAACTATCCACACTAAGAAAGCAATTTCTGTTTACTTTTGACATTTCTGGACAAAGATATAATACTATTAAATGCACTAAGCATTGAATTGCAATATATTTTCCGTCTGCAGAAAAGCATTAGGATGCGATCAAGCCAAGCTGGCAACTCGTGTACCTTCAAAATACACTTTAAAACCTTATTATTATTTGGAAATTCATATTAATGCCAGTTGGCAGCACAATCTGGAGGATTAGTCATGGGGACAGAAACCAAGAGAGATGTGTATTTTTTGTAGCTTGGCCACTGAGCTATGGTGTGACCTTAAGGAAGTCACTTCAGCTCTGCTTCTTTGTGCTCTTCCCATCTTTTGTCTGGCTTACCCAATTAAACTGTAAAATCTTCAGAGAAGGCACTGTTATTTTACTACAGTTATAAGCATAAAGGGGCAAGGATCTTGGTTATAATCTCTGGCTGCTGCTACAGTACAAATAGGTAGAGCTGGGACTCACCAGCTCTTCTTCCAAATACCTCAACGGGGTAAATCTAAAGGCATCTCTAAAAATAATGAAAGTTTCTGTCTAGGATATTTCCTGATACATTTTGCTGCCATGTTCTTTTTTTTAATTCAGAACCTTCTCATTTTCTAGAGAATCTTATACTTCTATATTATATGTCATGATAATTAAAGCATCTTGTTAAGGATAAATACCAAAAAATATGTAGTGTTTGCTTTAAGTCGGCCCTAGGATTTGACGTTAGCCCTGTGTAAGTCCTTTGATATATATAAGTACTTCTCCTAAACACTATTTGATGGTATTTTGATTACGGTATCGTGATCAACTTCAACATATGTTAACAGATCTTTCTTTCCATGATAACAATAGACAGGACCATTGCAGTTCACTCCACTGTTCTCAGTTTAGGTTAACTCTTGGCTGCTATACAAAACAGAAGCCATGAAGATATATAACTTTATTACACACCATTTGACTTACATTCTAAGTGTAAACAGTCAATTGAAGATCACCTACTCAGTTCCTCAGGTGTGAGTTTAAGAGTTGCGTATGACTCACTTCCACTGTTCACAGGACTTTACTGCAAACCTTTAAGAAGTCTACATTAAGTAGCTAGTATCTTAGAGGTGGTGGAGATAAATACATATTCCTCTTCCTTATTTAAATGCAGTATGTTGTTTCTGAAGCTGTGTTTCCACATTTACGAATACTTAACTTCACAGAACACAGTGGCATGAGGAACCACTAGTAATACCCAACTCTGTCCTAGAGCAGTTGATGCTGTCCTAAGCAGTGGATGCACCCAGAGTGTGTTTCTACACTGAATTAAGAGTTCCAAGGAGGAGGCTGGAAGTTCACGTGGAAGTTGGACACAAGATCAAGGAGAGTTTGTATGGATGGCGCCAAGTACTTCTACTGTGAGTACTGTGGCTATTAAACACTTACTTCTGCAACTGATAATGTTTTCCCATGGTACTTGTAAATTGAATTCTTTAATAACCTCCTTTAGCTCTATCTATTTTCAATGCAAGTTATTTGGCCAGAGGTTAAAGAAAAGGGAAAACACTATTGTAAAAAAAAACAAACCAAACCAAAACAACCAGGCATGATTTTTAAGACCTAGGCATAGCCTGAAAAGATGCATTCACTACATCTAGATGCACCCAGAAAGTCGTGGCCTAGAAAGGTGTTGGGGGGGAAGGAACGAACAAACGCAGCACTTACACTTTCAGACCTGTCAGTTTCTTGGAAACTACTATTCCATAAAAATAGCTTGATTAAAAATAAAACTCCTTAAAAGAAACAGTTCAGGAGACTTGAGTAAAATTCATTTAGTCAAACACAAACCTCACTGATAAGCTTCAAAAATTTCCACTTGTACGAAGCTAAAAAAGTGACCTACAAAGTTGTTAGGAGCAAAACTTACATTTAAAATAACCACCTACTCCAGTATAGAAATATTAGAAATTCCTAGATAAAGCAGCAGCAGGTAAACCTACAGGAACTCTGGTTCCAACCTGACAACAGGCTCCTACTATTGAATACTACAGTAATTCTCTCCATGATGTTGACTGCAACTTGAATTTAAAATAAAATAAAATAAAATTGACCAAAAAGACAAACTAACAAAAACAAATCCAAATAATTCAGATTTAAGTACTCCAAATATTGTCTATTTTCTTTGATGGAAAATTACTTAAATGAAGTGATCATCTATTTTTGAGGTTTTCTGATCATGAAGAAGAATCAGATGAAGATTAATGAAGTAAAAATTAAAACCCCATATTGAGTTTTTAACCTCTGGTCATTTTTGTTGATTATAGGCCTATAAAGAAGGGCAGAACTTTGATAAATAACATGTAACTGTAAACCCATAAAGATGTAGCTAGCTAGAACATCTCTAAATAATTAGTGTTTGATTCATATGGGAAGAAAACAGTGCCAGGTCTATATCCATACTACCTCAAGAGGGAAATCCTTTATGCTGACATCTACAAAAGATTGGCAGTAATGAGGATCCATGTAAATCAAACTGTCATCTACAAGGACAAAATAGAAGACAAGTAATTCAAAAAACACCTTATTATTACACTGCTTACAATCCAATTTCTATGCAGAACAGCTGAAAAAAAAGCCAGCAAGTAACTGCTTGCCAGGCTGATATTCATTGACTGAAGCATAGGTTTTTGCAGGACAGATTAACTTTTGCATAATCAAATATGCTTGTATAAGCAGAATTTTTATAAAGTGATGAGACTGTCATTTAATTTTTGGTGATAAAATTACTTTTACAAACACACAATTATATTCTGGAGTTTGCATATGAAAAATGTATTGTGCTACTTCATCCTGACAGGAAGAATATATTGCTTGTCATTTAAGCATCAACTAACACCACTTAAACAAGTAAAAAGTAAATACGTAAATAAGAACTGCCAGGTAGTAACAGCAAACGCTCCTGAAGTTTGGTGAAACAGATAAATTATGCCTTGTTTATGCAACAATGGAAATTAAATGTACATTTTACAGAATCCAATTACTATATGGAGTAAATGACAAATGACTGGACTTGGGTAGATATGATGAATTAATAAGGTACTCATTTTGCTATTTTAATCATGCTATTTTCCACTGGTTCGATATTAACTTCCTAACTCTTAAAGAAAAATATTGAAGAGACATAATATATTAAAACACCAACCTTGAAATCCAGCAAAGTAATACGACTGCTTGGGTTTGCCACCAATAATACCAACACAATACTCAAGGCTTAAAATTCCCTACAACAAGAACATTAAATAATTAGGACAGTGTTAAACAGAGTCAGTATAAACTGAATTAAAATCTTTGCTCTTTCTTTACTGTTTTTAGGCATAGCTTTTTTTTTTTTTTTTTTTTTTTTTTTTAAAAACTT